CGAGTTCCCCAGAGCTGCGAGGGCCACATCCCCCCCGGGGGCAGGGCCTGGGGACCGCCAGGCTGTACAAGTGCCACATCCTGGAGGACGGCACATCAGGCCTCGAGGGTCCCTCATCCCTTTTGTGACGTATTTTAATTATGAACCCCCAAAGTGTGCAGGACACACCTGGGTCTGTACAGACTCTGTGCCCGAGGTTCACGGCAGCACTTTTTATGACTGCCCAAATGTGGGAGCAGGCTGGGGTGCAGCCCGCGATTCATGGGTGCGTCACCCCTGGAGCCTGCCCCCACCTTCCCACTGGGGGCTGTGGGAAGGGTCCTGCCCGTCTGCTGGGGGCCTGGGGGTGAATCACCACGCCAACTCGCAGTCCCAGCGGGCCAGAGGCCCCGTGCTGCCGGGGCACCCCTGAGCAGACGCGGCCTGGTAGGGCACCGCTGGGGCAGGGAGCTGGGAATTCTGCTGAAGCATCTAAAGCCACGAGGCGCCCTCAGCTCCCCCTCCCCTGGGCACCCCATGGAGCCTCCCAAGGGCCCCGGGCACCCCCACCACTCCCGTCTCCTGGTGCTGTGAAGTCCAGTTGTCTTCCGTGTGTCCATTCATACCCAGACCCCTGCTCCTGGGAGCCCTTCCCCGAGGGCAGGCCTGTCCCCTGCAGCTCACCACGGCTCACCTGCCCAGGGCCCAGCTGCCCACGACACTCCAATGGTTCCAGAGTGCAGCACCCCACCTCGTGGACCACACTCGATCTCAACTGAGGGGCGTCCTGGGACGGGGGCGGGGACCAGGATGGATCGGGAGCCAGCAGCTTCTCACTGGGCAACTGCTGCAGGGGCAAAGGCAGGGCCACTGAGGGAGGGGGCCTCCCCGGTGAGAGGCTGCCTGTGTCCCACGTCCCCCGTCTCCCGTCCCCATCCCAGCTCACAGGACCAGGGTTTCTCCTCCAGCACCCTCTGCCCTGGGCCACAGGAGGATGGGGGTCTCAGGGCACACCAAGAAGGCCCTTCGTGCTGGAGCAGAGCTGGAGGGGCAGGCGCCACCTGGTGGAGTTGTCCGTTCCCGCAGAGGCACCCGGCGGGGGCTCCTGCCGAGTCTGTGGGGAGTGCCCTTGGAGGTGCTGTGGCGTCCACTGCAGAACTGCAGAACTGCTGGGCCCTCTCCACACCTGAAAATAGCCACTGGTGTCTTCAAACCTAAACCGCTGGAGAAT